GAAACACCTACTAACTGGTGCAAACCCAATATTTTGTCCATCGGCATTGTGAGAAACGCCCATATTTCGACCCAAACCAGCACCCAGAGACACCATGTGTAAGGGCTCCAAACGCACAACGAACATGAAACCTTTTAGGGCTGATTGTTACCACAAACACCTGGCACGGCAACTCCAAGAGGCGAACCCAAAGCAAAGACTCCGAACCAAACCCCCGCATAAACGGGGAGAAACCATCGGCCGTTTGGTTTAGGCCTCACCAGATATGGGACTTTGGAAAGGCCTCAGCGACTTTGCGACGACCAACCAACCCAGAAATCGGGCCGAAGGGTCGCTCAGCCACCTCTCCTTTTGGGCGAAGCCGACTTCACGGCCGACTCGGGGCAGCTTTTGCTTGAACATGTGCAGCCAGGGATCCTGAGGGTGAATAGAACTGGAGGAAAGCAGAACTGAGCACAAACAGAAACGCTGGGAAAAAATGGACAACAAACATGAAGAAAAGAAACAGAGAAACAAACAGACAAGGCAAACGGAAAAAGGGGAAAAAAAGAACAGAAGCAGGAGAAGGAAAACAAAAGAAAAAGCAAGGAGAAACAAACAAAAAACACATCCGTGGAATTCCGAATTCGCCTCAAGGCGTCTTCCTCTACAGAGTCCTCAGCACCCTCCTCCCATCCGCGGTCCTGGGACCAGCTGTCCATGGCAGGTTAGAAGCTGGACGCCTTGGCTTAAGGCCTTGCAAAAACTGAAATTCCTGGCTTAAAGGGATAATGGAGGTTGGGGAAAGAAAGGAAACCCGACCTATTGATCAATATGTGTGCGCAATATATATATATACATATATATGAATATGTATATATATATATACATATATATGTATACATACATAGGTGGATCTAATAACAGGGGGAAGCGATTCTTATGTTTCCCTTGCTTTTGTTCAACCTCACCTTCTTGGGCCATGTAAAGTGAGCTTCCTTTTGGTGTGACGTTTTCAAGGAAAGTCTGTCGCCTCCGGGAACCAAAGGCCCGACTTGATGTCCAGATGTCTCACGAGTCCCGCTAAAAATTCACAGGACACCTGTTCTTCTTCTTTCGTCGAGGGGAGTGAGTGATAGAAGTGCCTGGAGTTTGAGGACTGCTCTTGGAAAGAGCAGGCCCAACTGTTCTTGCAAAGAGCCGGGTTCCACCTTTCTTGCAAGACTTTTTAGAAACCCATTTGTTTTACGACAAGAAACACGAGGAAAAAAGTGGCAGCACTGGAAATCTGAGGCGATGTACCATATTGGGGGAAAGCTTCACCTTTTGCGGGGAGAACACCCCTGCAGTTAACGTTACTCTTCAGCTCCAACCATTTTGAACCTTAGACTCCTAAACCTCCCAACGAACACCAGCTGCATTCCACACATGGATGTGGGTCAAAAATAGCTACCACAAATGGTTTGCCCTGTGAAATGGAAAGAAGGACGATTTAACCTGCGGTCCAATTCCTGGTGGCTCAATTTTGACCCATACCCATGTCCCTCCGAAAAAATGGAGGGGTTGGACATGTGGACCAAACCTCAACTGGGGCAACCTCGCCCAAAAAGAACTCGGTGTCAACTCAATCTTCCTTTTATGCCACTTGCAAGAAGGGAACCATACCCACCATCTTTCGCCCCAGCGCCCCCAGCAGGCTCCTCCCGGAGCTCCGGCACATCATCCTCCTCCAGCCTCCAAGTCTTGGCGGACCCCCGTCTCGGTTGGGTTGTTGAAGGAAAACCAAAACGAAACCACCACGATTTTCTCGGTTGACGTTGGAAGGGGAGCAAAAATTCTCAAATTTCAGCAGTTGGGTGGGGATTTCAACCACTAAACCACAATAAGCAAAAATGCAAAATGTTTCCCAACAACAACCATGTTTTGATAAGCCCCTTTATCCACAACAGCGTACACCTCCTGTTCAACAAGGGTATGGCTTGCAAGTTAAGGACGTAGTTAGGGATGAGTTTTTTTGCTCTCAAGGGGAACCATGAGCCATGGGAAGAATACCCGGTCAATTTCCGTAGAGGACATGGGTATGAGATAAAATCAAACCACCAGGGGACCGCAGGTTTTGGTCCATGTTTTCATTTCCCAGGATTCCATTTTGGGTACATGTTTTTGACCCACAGCCACATGGTGAACACTAGGCCTTGCCCCCTGGTTTTGTGCAAAGCTGTGTGAGTCCCATGTCCTCTTAAGACGCCACTGCATAATATTGAGACCGCACCTCATCTAGAACCGCCGAAAATGGCAGCCAAACAAACGCCCTTTAGCTTCACCTTTAAACCAAGCCCGCAAACGGTGCTCTCAAACAAGCACACACCCAACTAAGCATGTGAACCCATTACTAAACCGGGGAGAAAACGCGAAGTACCCATCCTTCTCTTGCCATCGCGTATCGCCATCAGCCAGCCTGCGGGTCAGGGTGTGCATCGCTGATCCAGAGAAGGACGCGGTGTCCTCGGTGTCCTGACGAATGCCACTCCGAATCGTTCGGCCTCATGGAGTAGGGGGGCTATTCTCCCACAACTGCAGCAAAACCGGAAGAAGAAAAACAAAAAACAAAACGGGCTAAATCATTAGAATACGGGGTGTGGGGTACTTTGAAACAAAATTAGTCCTGATTGCAGGACTATATACTATTAGTAACTTACTCAGCCAATTGTATTACCCTTGTGGTTTGGTAATTCTTGTGAGGCTGGGAACAACCCTGTTGACCTTGCGCAAAAAGTTGGAGGAGTGTTTTGCTCGGACGCCGGAGCGCGAGTTTTGTCGAAAAGGGTTTGCTTGGAACACTTTGCCCCCTTTCCAATGGAAGCTGATAGAATAGCTTCTCTTGAAAGGACCCCCGTCTTCCATTGGAGCGAGGGTATCCAAGAGACGGTCCAGGAATGTGTGCCAAATGGCCATGGGTCAAAAAATACCTCGTACCTCGTACCCCCAGTGAACATCCCAATCCCCACTACAATTGACGGAAAAAAGGTGGTGCACCGACCCCCCAAACCATGGCCAAATCTGTGCCAAACATAGGTGTCCTTTTGGAAAAATGGATGGCCCTGGTAAATGCAATAAAACCCGTCTAAACCAGTGCATTGGATCGGCAAGCAAGCAGCCAGGCAAGCAAGCAAGCAGGGCAACAAATAAACAACCAACCAACCAACCAACCAACCAACCAAACAGCCAACCAACCAACCAACCAAACACACACACACACACACACCAAAAGCATATTGGAGAAAACAAAGAGGAAAAAAAGAAGAAGAAAAAAAGACGCGACAAACAAATCGAAACAAATACTAAATAACCAACAAACCAACGAACCAAACAACACAACACAACGAAGGACGATACACACACACACACAGTCACTGGACAAGACGTACAACCGGTATGACCATGGTCATACGGTATACGGGAACCAACCTGCCTTGTCCTACTTCTTGACCATGGTTATAACCTACTAAGTGGGTTCAACATCCAAGTGGTCTGGTTCAGTCGTGGTCCCCGTCTTGCAGCCTTTGCTTCCCCCCCCCCCCCGACGTCCAGGCGGCTGCGAGGCCATGGGGACATGGCGGCGGCTTCGGCGCGGCGGCACGTTCTTCGGTTTTGCGGGGCTCGCAAATGGCTCCAGCCGATGTGAGTCCCGTCACTTGACCTTTTGGAGTTTGCACCAAACAAACAAAAACAACAGAACAAAAAATAACAGCACGAAGAAAAACAACAACCAAAAAAAAAAACACCAACAAAAACGCCGAGTCAGCATTGGGCGCGTTTTGGGGTTGGGTGGCATCACCTAATTGTTTTGGGGAACATGGCACGTGTCAGTGATTAACCGTCTGAAAATGAGCAAACGGAGCAACTCCGACGGGGTGCTAGCGTCAATGGCGGTTTGGAGGCTGATGGTCAGGGGTGTCACTTCCCAAAATATCATGACGTTTTGGGTCCGCGCACGCATTCCTAGGCGATCATGGAAGTCTGGGCAAGTGCCAACTGCCTGCCGTTGAAACAAAGCTCGTGGGGGTTCCAACAAAGGAAACCCAACCAATGCTTCGTGCCTTGGAGCTCTGAACCGCCTGGAGCCAAACAGCGGAATCCGTGTGCTTTGCGTTGCGGAATCCGCTCGGCCCAATCGGCGGTGTTCCTTCTGTGATCCTTCGTGGGGTGGCCCCTCCTTCGCACCAAATCGAAAGTGGCAGTGCTGTTCAAACCTCGGCTTTTCCATTGCAAGGTTGAACGGATCCTCGAGATAAATGCAACCCTGGAATGGTTGTCGGTGGGAAAAATGGGCACCATTCCCCCCCTTCCCCCCCCCCAACAAGTGAGGTGACACGACCATTTGCCTGATGGACACCAAAGGTGTTTAGCGAGACCGGGAAAAGAGCGGCTGCCTTTTCGCTTCTTTTGAAAACGACTCTCAAAAGGCACCAACTCAAAAAAGAGGGTACTACTCCATTTGCCCACTCATTCCTTGACGTCGCAAGCCCCGGACGTGATTTAACTTGCACAAATTCAAAGGGATCCACAACCAAACTGAGTTCAGAAGCTGCACCACAAAGGAAACCACCAGACCAGCTGGCCAAAGGATCTAGCCGATTTCCTTTGGAACAAGACAGCCTTCACAGCGCTGTTTGTTTTTTCCCCAGAGTCCAGCGATGCAAATCGCATCGCTGAGGTGCCGAGCATGGACCCAGGCCGAGGTCAATACCAAGCAAAAGGCTGCTCAGCAGCCTTGCCATTGTGTCCAAAAGATGAGGATCGCAAAGATGGAATCCTTTTCGGGCTTCCCGTTGAACACCCTCTTGTCCATCCGTATGAGGGGGCTGGGTGGTGAGATGTGTCTCTTAAAAGCTCTCTGGCTGGCTGGTGGGAAATTTGGACTGGTGGATATAGCCAATCGAGTTTGCCGAATAAGAGAACCATCGAAATGTGTATATGCGTGTGCGCAGTTTCCCTTTAGCTTCTCCTTTTTTAGGCCCAAAAGGATACCCTCAACAACAGACACACCCATAAGACCCAAAAGTGTCCCTTGCGCCGCTCACGTCCTTTCGCCTGCCACATCTCAGCTTGTGCTTCTGGTCGCTGGCTTCCCCATTCTTGGTGCCTGCACGGGCCCCATCTCGGTGCTTCTGCCCTGTTGGGGTTGGCTTGGGAACCAGTTCCAGCAGCCGCGTGAGTGCGAGAAGCTTGGGATCCCGAAAAAAAATTCGGTGTTCCGTTTGGTATCCCTGCAAAAGCCTTTGGTAAGCAAGGTAGCAACAGAAAACACACACACCGAGTCGAGGGTTTCCCTTTCAGACCCCGTCTCCTCACGTGGCTTTTCTTGTCGAAGTCCTTGAGAGTCCTCGAGGATGACACCACTTCGGCTCTTCAAGGCTCAAGGCGTCGTCAACCGTCTCCGCGCTGAAGCTCCTTGGGCCAAACGAAGCAAAGCCCCTTTGGCACAGCCACGCAGTCCAGAGTGACGTCTGATGAAATGGTGACCCTTGAAAGCGTTGGTTCAAAGGAAGATTGGCGAGACCCCTAAAGTAGGCTTGAGAAGCACTCAAAGTGTTGCTTTAAGGACCCCGGACAGTATTTAGAATTAGAAGGAGCTTGTACTGGAAAATGGGATCCCAAATGCCAATTACAAACTATATATAGCCAAATCTGTATAGGGTTCGCCGTAAGCACCCAAGAGGGAAAAACACCAACAGTATTCAGCCAATTTGAGGTGTGTCCAAAAAAGGAGGGCCTCTGTGTATGCCTGCAAATGACGTCTCCCAAATAGGTATACTACTATACCACTGTTTCAGATCATACTGCTTCCAGGTACCAAACAACCAGGATTCGCCTGCCCCCCCCCCCCCCCCGCAGAAAGGAAAAATAAAAACGCTCCATTGGTGTCCCTTGGTTTCCCTTCTAAATCCCAAAAAGGGAAAAATGAGCCTCAAAAAGCTTCACACGCCCAAAACCCACTGCGCCCATCTCGGCACCGCTCCCCCCCAGCCTCCACGGCAGCGGCCTCCGCCCGCGCCAGCGCCGCCGCCACAAAGGGCACAGCAGTCCCGGCCGCGGACTCGCAGGCGCCGACGCAGTACCTCGAACGAAGAAGCCATTGGCTCAAACCAAAACCAACCGAAAAAGATGTGTGGTCAAAACTCTCCGTTTGTATACGTACGTGTATGTATATCCGCCGACCCCTTCTCCTCAAAGGGGAGGCGCACGGGAAGGGTGGTTGCAGTACAAGCGCATGGATTAATCTTTGAGGCAAGCATATGACTACTGGCATCATACGGATGCCATCATCATCATCATCATCGATATGATCCTTCATCATTCTTATCGTCAACATCATCATCATCATTTCTATATCCTTCAACATCATCATCTCTTATTAGCCGGCACTGGTGATGCCGAGGATGTCATCATCATCTCTTATTAGGCAGCACTGGTGATGCAAAGGGTGTTATGATGATAGTTATCATCATAATCATCATCATGATCATCCTTATTATGATGTCATCGCTCTTCTCATCATCATCATGATGATCATCATCATCTCATTATTATTCTTATTCTTATATGCATTTGAAAAAAGTAACGTTAGACCCCATTGGCAATGCAGAGGATGCTACGATGATAGTTATCATCACAGTCCTAGCCGGCACTGATGATGCCGAGGATGCTACGATGATAGTTACCATCACAGTCCTCATCCTTGTCATCAGTATCATCACGGTCATCACCATCTCTTATTAGGCAGCACTGGTGACGCAAAGGGTGTCACGATGATAGTTATCATCATAATCATCATCATGATCATCCTTATTGTGATGTCATCGCTCTTCTCATCATCATCATGATGATCATCATCATCCCATTCTTGTTCTTATTCTTATATGCATTTCAAAAGTAACGTTAGACCCCATTGGCAATGCAGAGGATGCTACGACGATACTTATCATCACAGTCCTCATCCTCATCATCACTATCATCATGGTTATCATCATCTCTTATTAGCCGGCACTGGTGATGCCGAGGATGTCATCATCATCTCTTATTAGGCAGCACTGGTGATGCAAAGGGTGTTATGATGATAGTTATCATCATAATCATCATCATGATCATCCTTATTATGATGTCATCGCTCTTCTCGTCATCATCATGATGATCATCATCATCTCATTCTTATTCTTATTCTTATATGCATTTCAAAAGTAACGTTAGACCCCATTGGCAATGCAGAGGATGCTACGATGATAGTTATCATCACAGTCCTCATCCTTATCATCACTATCATCATGGTCATCATCATCTCTTGTTAGCCGGCACTGATGATGCCGAGGATGCTACGATGATATATATCATCACAGCCCTCATCTTTGTAGAAACAAGAAAGATAGAAGAAAGAGATGATGATAATGATGACAATCATGATGACAATGATGAAGGCGATGACTATGATGACAATCATCATGAAGATGATAAGGATGATGACTCTTATGATAACTATCATCGTAACATCCTCTGGATTACCAAAGCTGTGGATGACTGTCATGATAACTATCATCGTAGCATCCTCTGCATTACCAAGGCTGCCTAACGCCACAATTGAAGTGTATATAGAAGTATAGAAGAAAGATAGAAGAAGAGATGATGTGACAATTGATGATGACGATGAAGGCGATGACTATGATGACAATCATCATGAAGATGATAAGGATGATGACTCTTATGATAACTATCATCGTAGCATCCTCTGCATTACGAAAGCTGCGGATGACTGTCATGATAACTATCATCGTAGCATTCTCTGCATTACCAAGGCTGCCTAACGCCACAATTGACATGTATATAGAAGAAAGATGATGACGATGA